GGATTGCCCCTACTTATAAACAATGTTTATGTCATATATTGTCCGATGTGGGACTTTTAACACACCCCCTCACGCTCAGGACAGGACAACTGAAGTGTGGAAATAAATGGTGGGTGGCCCGATAGCGAAAACCATAGAAGGTGGCCCACCGGATCTTAAACGAGACTCTTGATACCATGTTAAAATACAAGAGACTAAGAAACATATGAATAAACCGTGTTGTCACTCCGGTTTTCCTCTCACTTTTCAAAATTCTCCGGTAACCGCCTTGCCGCCATTACTGTTCCGGAAAAACTTCCAACGACATTTCGGAAAACTGACCCCACCATCCAACTCGCCATCCTCCGATTCCGGACGTTTTTCCACCGGTCTACTCGCTTCTCCTCACCCATTCCAGATTCGGCCTCTGTTTTACTTTCCGACTCACGGAAAACTGTGCTCCAGTGCAAACAACCCCGATTTCACTCCATTTTTTGTGTCATTAAGCCATGGGAGACGTTGATTCTGTCTCGTTTACTAAAGTTTCGGTTATCCCATGTGAAAAACTAACTGGATCAGCAAACTATACAAGCGCAGTATCAAGCCTTCTCCACCTTCTCCACTTGTTATGAGGTTTGGAAAGAGACTGTGCTCCAGTGCAAACAACCCCGATTTCACTCCATTTTTTGTGTCATTAAGCCATGGGAGACGTTGATTCTGTCTCGTTTACTAAAGTTTCGGTTATCCCATGTGAAAAACTAACTGGATCAGCAAACTATACAAGCGCAGTATCAAGCCTTCTCCACTTGTTATGAGGTTTGGAAAGAGACCAAGAAAGTCTTTCAAACTATACAAGCGCAGTATCAAGCCTTCTCCACCTTCTCCACTTGTTATGAGGTTTGGAAAGAGACCAAGAAAGTCTTTCTCCAACGACATTCATTATCTATACAGTGTCATCCTCAAACTCGATACAGTGAAGATGGAAAATATGAATATGCAAACCTATCTGAGTAAGCTCAGATACCATGTTAAGAAATGTGGTTGAGCCTAACTCAATCTTACAAAACCGGTTGGTAGAGTAAATATTGTCCTCACTTATAAACACATGTTCATGCCATATATTGTCTGATGTGGGACTCCTAACTGATATTATTTGAATTCCTTTATGTTATAATCATTATTTAACTGTTCTTGTATTCATTGTTTTTTGTATATTGACTAGCGTGCAAATTGATATCATATGAGTATGGGTTATTGACTATAAGTCTACCATCAGAACTATGACAATTATTCAACTTGGTAACTAATTAGGAATAAATAATTATAAGTTGTGCCTTTTGAATTAAAGAACTTAGAAACGCTTGATTTAATATGAGTTGACATAAAGAAGTAAGGAATTATTGTGTCAATTAGTGAGTTGTACATTAAGAAATTGGGTACATTGGCCTTGTTAGTTTATTGTGAGATTATAGCTTAGTTATAATTCATTTGATATACAATTCATCAACAGGTAATCCTTTTGATACACTCTTTGTTCTTGTAACCAAATGTGTTTGAATTTTTTCTTGAACTGAATGAAAAGACACACCAAAATGTTCTTGCACCACTAACAGTAATCAGTACTTTGGACTCATCAATACGTAAAACAGTATGTTGTCTCTCAGATTTTAAAACCATAGAGAAAACTCTGTTAATATCAGATAAAGGATTCATCAGTAAAATTTGAGCACGCACATGATCAAAATGCTCATTCAAATCAGTCAAAAACGAATTGAACGGTAATTTTATGATGATGCTTAGCAGATTGTTGATGCCTGTTGCACAAACACATCAATGTGGACTTGAACAAACTGGTGTAGACAGATAAGCTTCAAGTTCTTCCCATAGAATAGTAAAAAATTCAGAAACAAGTCTAGAATATTATTTCAAACCAAAAACCTCACACTTAAGTTCAGAAATTCGAATGTAATAACCTTGGGAGAATCTCACACTTAAGTTTGAAGCTCTAATTGATCAGTTCTAGACACAAAGTCTGTAATTGACGTACAAGAAACCGATACATAAACTCCGGTAGGTCTCACTTCAGGTAATTCCATCAAAGGTTCATTTTGATTCAAAAAAATATGCACAACTTTCCTCATCTTTGGCCTAAACAATGAATCTGGATGCAAACACGCCAATCCAACCATCAAACCTCTTTTAGCTTCTTCCACATCAAAACAATCTTTCAGTTGTTGATCAACGCACTCAAGAATTTGATTCTGAGCATGTAAATTCCATACATAATCCACCAAACTATTATCTTCCATTACCCTTTTCGACCTTTTCCCGCAAATGACTTCAAGTATAACCATACCAAAACTATAAACATCTGATTCAGGTGTCGCTTTACCTGTGAAGCCTATTTCAGGTGCTAGATAGCCTGGTGTTCCAGCTAAATTTGTAGTTACTGAGTCTTCGTTTTTCAGTAACCTTGCGAGTCCGAAATCGCCTAAATGAGCATTGTAATTAGAATCAAGCATTACGTTATTAGGTTTAACATCTCGGTGAACTACTGGATTTCCGCATTCTTCGTGAAGATAAAGTAATGCTGATGCTAATCCGGTTAATATCTTGTGCCTTGTTTGCCAGTCTAGAATGTCCTTGCCAATGAAATGATCGAGGCTTCCGTTTTGCATGTAATCGTAAACTAAGAGAAGGTTTTTGCCTTCATTGCACCAGCCTTGGAGTTGGACTAAGTTTTTGTGTCGAAGACGGCCGATGGTACATATTTCGGCTAAGAACTCTCTTTCACCTGTTTAGACCATCAAAACAAAATGGTCAGTAGTATAAGAAAACAATGATCAATGATAATGGCTTTTCCAATACACACAGGTTTAAGATTTTCATGTCATAACTTTTAACCAGTTACGAGAACATACCTTGCTTAGAGGTTGCTGAAATTTTCTTTACTGCTATGGTTTTTCCATTTTCCACCATGAATCCTTTATAAACACTTCCAAATCCACCTCTTCCCACAAGATTTTCTTTGCTGAACTTACAAGTAGCTTTTGACAGTTCCTTGTAACCAAACATCTTAGGCGCATCCGCAGCCGTCCTCGATAGGCTTTCAATGTCCTCATTCCGGTCACCCTTCTCGTATCTTTTCATCCAAGCTTCCCAAATAACAGAAAGTAAACTAACTAACACAAGAACCGGTAAAACAATTATCAGCACGAACTTGATTTTTCCAATAGCACTGTGCTTAACAGAAAGAACGGGCAATGGCACGGATGTGAAAAACCAATTTAGAATCTGATGAGTTTCAGGAAAAGTCTTGCCGGTTGAGGCTGTAAAACCAACATAAACTGAACTTGGAATTATATCAGGTATATTAACCGAATGGTTGAGAACACTTTTTAATTGGCTATTTGAGTATCCGATCGAGACAGAAATCGTTTTAGTCCAGCCATTGTAATCAACTTTAACCATAACGTTTCTTCCACTTTTAAGATCAACATTAGTTCTATTGATACTACTAAAAGCAATTGGATTTGTGATGCTTGTCGTGACTATGCCGATGTGATTTCCATCTGGATCAAATTCATTCATGAATGTGTCTAACTCCACACCTATTTGTCGAAAACTCTCACCTGCGCAACATCAACCGTTTAAGTTAAGATTAAAAAAACACAGAACTTCGAAAAAGTTATATTTTGGATAATTTAAGTTTACCTTGTGTAGATCTATCAAACATGCCAAGATAAGAACCATAGCTATCATTTGGAGAAGGCCTATTATCTTGTGCAAATACTAGTGCAATTCCATCACCCGAGCTGGTGGAGTTTTTCAAGAACGGTGTGATCCTAAGAGTGAATGTAGTAGTGATAATTGCCGGCCAAACATGAACTGGATGAGGGTACAAAATCCTTCCTACTTTGTTAGCTATGTCAGATGTCCCAAGCATTGAACCTGAACTGTTGTTTTGTTGTGTCTCTGGCTCCGGTGTGAGACTTATATAACCATTTCCTGAAGTGGCTGAACCCATACAAAGCAATTCACCATTGTTGCAGCTTTCAGGAGTAAAAGAAATAAAGGAGAATGTAGTTGGATTATTCACAGTGCTTGTTGTAGCTGTTAGTGTTTTGATTTGCAAGATAAAGAGAAATAAGAATATGAACATGGTTGTGGTAGAGAGTTTTGAAGTCTGAACAAAGCACCTTAGTTTTAATCCTATGTTGTTCACTGTAAGTGTGTATAGATGTTTATATAGTGGTTATTATTATATGTTTTGTGTTTTGAATGTTATGTTGTATTTTAGTTTGATGCTGATCTTGATTTGAGAATCAAATATATGCTAGTTGTTGATTTATTAGATGTGTTGGCAAGTTGCTTTTCATATGAGACAAGTTTAAGAATAGACAAGGATCATGGGTGCTCCTTTGGAATATGCATCAGTTTGTCTTTTCTGAATGTTTGACCCTCGACTGGTTTTTCTCACACATATTTATCAGACATTAAATAACCATAATTTTATAGTTAAGTTTAAGGACAAAAACGTTGTTAAGCAAACTCTTGAAAATCCTTAAATAGTTAAGTTTCCTATATTGGATGGATATTGTCTCAAATATATGCACTGATTTGCTTTGCATTTGACAATTTCATCTGCTAATATCTTTCTACTAAGCAAATCAAGCTTGCAAAAATCATTATTTCAAGAGATTTTTGAATGACCAAAATACAGACAGCATCAGTATCATAAATTGTACATAGTAACTTTTTATTATTTCACTCTCTTAAGTACATAAGGAACCTGTTTGACTTTATTGGACATAACGAACCTATAACCTTACAACAGTTTCGATCATTGGTGCAAAGAAAACAAAGCAGTATTAACAATAATATCACATTTTATTTGAAAGCCGCATTTCTGTTTCCATGTTCACTTGTTTGTTACATTATCTTAAGTTATGACGAGCACCATAGTGTAAGCTGCACCACCAATTGACCAGAAGGAATGAGCTGAGATGGTTTAGTAGTTTCTACATCCTTGACCGATTGCGGTTCAAGCTAGCTTCAATTGACCCATGTGGCTCGTCCGTTGGTAAATACACATCGTCATTGAACTGCATAAGATTCATTATATGATTTAACAGAGCTTTACTGATGTCATGGAAGTATGAAAAAGATATAGTTTTGCAAATATTACAAAGTGGCAACGGTAGAAGAACCTATATTTTCACGGGACATTCAAATGGTGACATATTAAAGCATATTGAAACTAATAAAATTCAGCACAAAGGAAAATAAATACAGAATGGATTCAATCAGGTTTATCATTCTGATATATGGAGAGGAAACAATTGACATTCTTTTGTTTCTTTGATTTCATCTCTTATCTTCGTGGTTTTTGGTCTACTTGGCTTATAAAGGAAGATGTCAATGGTAATAAATTCAAGTAAGAATTCTAATGGGTTCTACCAAATTCAGCAAACATTTTCAATGAAAATAATCTCAATACCTTTACAATCTGACCATCCTTGTTTGAGAGATTGACTGGTATGAAATGAATATTTGGCATCTTTAGTTGAATAGAAGCTATGTCAGGAAACCTGAAGCATAACATTTAATTGTCAGTTGCAACATGACTATAGCATATCATATACATCAAATTTGTCTTTCTATTTTTCTCTCTCATTCAACAGATACTAGATAGATTAACGCCGACACGCAGAGAGGGAAGGATAGAGAGAAACCTGTTTAGCGTCGCCTTTGCCATCTGGTAGAGAGTGCTTTGAACTGATGGACTATAGACTCCTTCTTTTGGAGGTCCAAAAAATGTGTCGAGCAAAACTCTTTTCACAGCCAGGTACTTGTCCGTAAAATAAAGGGGCTTCTGAGGGACGCTATTTATTGATTCATATGAAAACCTACAGCCACATTCAATTTAGAAACATGAATTCAACTTTCCAAGCTAAAGAGAAATATGCAAGTGCAGTGATTTCATTTTCTGGAGGATGTGGTACAAACCTCCATATAGTTTTCGAATGATACAAAAAATTCCTAGAAATTGTTATGAAATTTATCAATAATTAAGCCTAAGAATCAGCTTCTGAAAGATTGAGGAGTCTAATTTTAATCTTATGACTCGTCTATATAGCTTACAGGAAGCCAACTTAGATCGTACTACTTGTTTATTGAAATTTGCTAAGACAAGTGTCAGAAAAAGAAATTACCTCCACAGGGCAGTTATTTCTGTTGCCAGCATCCTTTCGCGTGTGTCAGGAAGTACTGTATACTTGTCTCTTATAAAGCCCTCAAAACCAGACTGCTCACAAGTCAACAAATCCAAAAGAAAATCAGCTTGCATGTTCATAGCATGCAGCAAACCCGGAAACTGTGTAGTTTCATAATAGGAGAAATAATATTTTATCTATTAGTACTTCAGATTTCTTTGTGGGGAGAGAGGATAGGAAGTAAAATAAGACATATGGAGTACACTTAACACATCCTTGCAACAAAATATGAGTAAACATTTGGAGGAAGCTTTGCTGAGATTCACTGCTAAGTGCTAAGTGGATGGGATCATACTCAGAGATGTAGACAAATTGACCAAACTCTATAGTTATTTGCTGTATTCTTGGGTGCATTTATTTTCTTTTTTTCTTTAGAGATCGGTTTGATGCTCTAACAAGCTTCTAGAAACAGGACCCCTAATAGATAACTAGTATAAATTTATTTGCTCAAGGAAATATTGAATAAAAACCCAATGCCGAATATGAAACTTCTTTAACTTATTTAAAGAAGTATTCTCTTCAACCTTTTTTTTACTAATAGAACCAACTAGTATAATTACTAGAAATGGGGGGAATACATGGCCAGGGTACGAATCCCTTGTTGGTGATTTTAGTATCATCAATGTATTTTAGTAGTAATGTGATTTATTGTAGGCCGATGCAATTATGCGTTAAGCTTGGAAACGAGTTAGGGTAGTGCGGAGTGCACGCTCGTCGAGCCAACGTGCAATTTAATGCGAATAATTGAAAAGGGGTTCCAAGGGGCGAAGCCCCTGTCCCGCACCCCGAGCAAAAATTTTCTGAAAGTTTTCTGAACAGTTGAACCCGTTCGAAATTTTTGAACAGTTATGTCTTTTCAGTTTCTGTTATTAATCTCCTATATAAGGAGTCATTTGGCCTCAGTTTTAACGGACAGAATAACGAAAACCATACTTTCTCTCTACATTCCTGATCTGTTCTCTATTGTCAGAAGCAGATTGTTCTTCAAGAATTATCCCCACAAAGATTTCGTGAACCCAGGCAAATAATAGGGTCGAAATACTTTGTTCGGAAAGTGTACGAACACGATTCCTCGAAGATATCCAGGATTATCATACCAAATTTTCTAATATCCCTTCGACAACAAAGCCATGGCAGCACTTCTAGGATCTGCCTACCTCCCAATGCCCGAATAAATCACTATTCTCAAATTATACGATCACAGGATACCTCAGAAACTAACACATTTACTAAGTTGCTGAAAATATGACTATAAATGTGTATCTATCATTTACAGCCAATAAAGAAATTTTAAAGACCAGGAAAAGGGGATACGAAAAGACATTTGGAAAAAAAACTACAAGACAATTAAAGCACAAGTTCGTTTTATATATAGCAATCTTACCTTGGTTGTCTTCAACACCGACAATCCTTCAATACCAGAAGTCAATTGCAGTGAACCAGACTTTCTTACTATTGCCTCTGTCGTATGTTTTTCAGATCCAAGTTTGAAACCTTGCAAAAACAAAATCAAAGAACTTGAGGATGGAAAAGAAACAAAACATCAGTATATATTTATAACTGAAAAATTCATGCATATGGTTTTTCAACCTAAAGATCCTTACATAAAAAATAAAACTGAAAAATGGTTACTTCAAATTAATAGTGCCAACATTATACACACAAGTTTGGAGAAAACAATTAGATAGCTCAAACTCACCAAAATATTTCAGATTCTATAACAATAGAAACTTGAGCTGTAAGTGTAACAAAAATTAAATACAATAGCTAGCAAAGAACCTCTACACAGAATGCAATATATACACACACCTTCTGAAACAAGCAATATTCAAGCGCACAATAGTTTGACTAACCATGTTGATGAGGTTGACCATCGACACTAACTCGCTCCCACGGTTTCTCCACAATTTTTACAATAGCAGTGGTAACCTGCAGAAAAACCAAGAGTTTCATTTTGTTCTTCTAAGTAATGATTGTAAAAGAAAAAGCACGGAGCAAGATAAAAAAATAATAATAATAATAATAAAAGTATGAAAAATCTCGAAATTGATATAAATTACGAATTTTAAGTCACCAACCTGCTTATAAAATGATGTGAAATGTTTGGCAAGTAGAATTGCAAAATCCTCCATAGAAAGTATTTCCGAACATTCCTTTGCTTTTGCATATACCTAATTACACATCAATTCAAAATTCAAAACTAATGTGAAGCTATATGATAGAGAATATATTTAGCTCTTGGATCAACCTTGACACCATCTAAAAAATCTTTTAGACCTAACAAGTCAATTAATTTAAATACAGTACATATCAATAACATAGCATATTTTGTATTTTTAATACAGAAAAATGAACTTTTATTTGTACCAAAAAAATAAAGATTCTTTTTGGCATATTAAAATTGTGTATTTTTATAATTCTAAAGATTTATGCATATTGATCTACAAAAATTATTTAGATAAACAAATCAGATCAGCCTTCAAAAAAATAAACAATAATATCCTGGAAACAAAAGAAAACAGAAAATGAACATGCAAAACAATTAAATCTGCAAAGTTAACAAATCCAAATCTCAGATTAAATTTTCTAAACAATAATCTCAGACATTAAAATCAGCTGAATAACAAAAATCATGAAAATAAGAAAGATGAGTAAGTTACAGTGTTCTTCATGGTATCAGTAGCGACGATATCGGAATTATCATCGCGAATGTAGGAATTGACGCAATCGGAAAGGAGGTTGATGCTGACACGCCACTCAACAACCAAGTGTTGTTGACCGTCTTTGCTCTTCCAAACGCGAGCTACTCTTACTCTCTCTTTCCCGTGACTCTGTTCGAACTCAAATCCTTCCACGTTTTTCGCCATTGATGCTTTCTTTTCTTTCGCTTTTTTTCGAATAGCTTAGTGACTCATCGTGAGTCATGATATCGTTCTATTTATAACAATATTAGAACAAACCAACAAAAAAGTTTATAAAAGTAAAATAAAAAACTATTTAAAGTTTTTAATCACCTCCTATTAAATATTTTTTACTATGTCATTTTAAGATTAAATTTAGGACAATGACTTTCTGGAAGATGACAAAATAGTATTTGCCGGTTTTACAGTCATTTCTGTGTGCGCTTTGCCTTGCTTTACTGCCCCAAAGAATTGAGTTTTTTTTAAATGCCAACAAATTGAGAGTATTTATGTCAAATATTTACTATAAACTTATTTCAAATATTGGGATCATAGGATTTAGGTGTTAATATATCTTTATCGAATTTTTCTTTTTGTCATAATAAAAAATTATTATTTTTTGTTCTTGTAACTTTTTTCTTTACAAAAACATGTACTTAAAATTTGATTTGTTTAATTAATTTTTTTGTTATTTTTATATTACACTTAGGAGTTAAAAATTATTATATTTAATTTATTTTTATTAAAAAAATCTTAATTTTTATTAAAAGAAGTATATAATATTCTAAATGTGAATTAGGAGTTAAAAATTATTATATTTAATTTATTTTTATTAAAAAAATCTTAATTTTTATTAAAAGAAGTATATAATATTTTAAATGTGAAAACAGTTATTCAAAAATTTAAGATAATTAAATTAATTTTGTTTGAACACAAATTAAAGCTACATTAAAAGAAAATTAAAGGGACTAAATAATTTCATTCTTATTGATGGCGGATGAAAGAAAAAAAAACTTCATAAATTTGTAATATATATATATATATATATATATATATATATATATATATATATATATATATATATATATATATATATATATATATATATATATATATATATATATAACCTTTAACTTTATATGTACTCTTAAAATGTAAAAGATGAAAAGTAAAAGAGATATAAAGATTTACTTTTTCATCAATCAATTTATTTATATATAAAAATATATTGATACTCAAAAAAGTTGGATGTTAAGTCAAAATTCATTCGAAGCGATTCAAATCTAAAATAAATAAACAAAAGTAACCTATTTTTTACATAAGTTTTTTGTAATATCAATTGGAAGAGAATAAAAAAAGTGAAGGCAGTAAATTTGTGGTTTATATTAGCAAAAAATATATACAACTATTTCCTTCGTTAAATATGTGCGAGATGATAAAAGACATGTTAGAAGTAATCATAATACAAGATATTCATCTGGATCACAGATTCGCAGATGCCAAGAGATTAAATTCATCTTTGTGTTAAATGTAATTCATAGTGTGTCGAAGTTGAAATAGCAAGGAAGCAGTCGAAGTCTAAGTCAAGTGTCGAAGTGTCGAAACTTTCAGTGTGTTGAAACAGCATGTTTTGACACAGATTTGTTTTGATGAGATTTGATATGATTTAGATTGGATTTGATTTTGAATATTTTGAGCCTTTTATGTTTTGGGCTTTTGTAAACCTAAAACTATAAATAGGTGTCTTGCTTTGCAATCAAATAGAACATATTTCACAGTTGCAGAGTTTAGCAAGTGAAAGTTCAATAGTAATCAGAAATCCCACAGTTTGTGGGTAACACAATTTTCTCCAAATATTTCTTCTCTCATTCTTCTCTTTCTTGCTGTTTGTTTGTTATTCCTCTTCTCTTTTGTTGTTCTCGATAACTCTTTACTTGTTATCACCATTACTATCATATTGTGGGTTTGTTCATCAATCTTGAGATCAAGATTGAAGGGAATTCTTCATAGGGTGTGAGGTGAATTTTCAACATCTGGTATCTAGAGCTCCGGTTGAGAGATTCAAGGAAGGAAGATAGTGATGGCGATGAACTATCCGAACGGAAACTTTCCGGGGACCCTGCCAATTCTCAAGAAAGACAATTATGAGAATTGGTGCAAGCAGATTAAGGTGATTTTCTGTTATCAAGAACTTTGGGATCTTGTGAAGGACGGAGTAACATCGCTTGAGGAAAACGCAACGAAGGCGGAAAAGGTTGTGCATAAAGAATTGAAGAAGAAGGATTATAAAACACTCTTTATAATTCATCAGTGTGTTGATCCTGATAACTTTGAAAAGGTTATTGATGTTGATTCAGCAAAAGAAGCATGGGAAATTCTTGAAAAGTCGTTTGGAGGCGCAGAGAAGGTGAAAGAGGTGAGGTTACAAACTCACAAGAGAACCTATGAGTTGCTTCAAATGGAAGACAACGAAAGCATTGCAGATTTCTTCACCAGAGTTACAAAGTTGGTGAATCAAATCAAAGTATGTGGAGAAGCGCTGACGACGAAAGTAGTTGTCTCAAAGATTTTGAGATCGTTGGCTCCAAAATTCGACCACGTGGTAGTTGCCATAGAAGAGTCGAAAGATCTGTCAGTGTTGACGAATGAAGAGCTTCAAGGGACTCTTGAGTCTCATGAACAGAGGATGGCTGAGAGAGTTGCAGAAAAGTCGAAAGATATGGCTTTGAAGGCGCAGTCAGAAAAGGAAAGAAAAGGCAAAGGTAGCTGGAATGGCAACAAAGGAGGAAACCAGTTGAATCAGAAGAAACCTTGGAACCAAGGCAACCAAATAGGTGGTGCTACAGGTAAAGGAAGAGGTGGTGGTCGAAGGACAGACAAAAGTCACATTCAATGTTTCAATTGTCAAAAGTATGGTCATTATGTTAGTGATTGTCCAGAAAGGAAGAGAAATCAAGAGACTGATGCAAAGCTGGCGAAACATGAAGAAGAAGAAACGTTGCTAATGGTCACAATAAAAGATGAAGAAAGATTCCAAGATCAGTGGTACTTGGACTTAGGATGCTCATCACACATGACTGGAAGGAAAGATTGGTTTGTCAACATGAAGCCTTCGTCGAAGAACACAGTGAAGTTTGCAAATGACAACACTCTAGCAGCTGAAGGTGTTGGTGATGTTCTGATTATGAGGAAAGATGGCAAAAGGTCAAAATTTTCCAATGTGTTGTACATACCAGGCATGAAGAGTAATTTGCTCAGTATAGGACAGCTTGTCGAAAAGAACTACAAGGTAGTTGTCGAAGAGAAGATGATGAAAGTTATCGACGCAGGTGGTAGATTAATCTTGAAGGCTCTAATGTCCTAGAATAGGACCTTCAAGATTGAACTCAATGTGATGGAGCACAAGTGCCTAGCAACTACAACCAGCAGAGATGAGTGGTTATGGCATTTTCGACTAGGTCATCTCAACTTTAATGACATCAGAGAACTGAAGAGAAGAAATATAGTTTCAGGATTATCAGAAATCGACATTCCAAGGGAAGTCTGTAAGGAGTGTGTTCAGTCAAAACAACACAAGAATAACTTCAGCAAGGATGCAGGAAGGAAGTCGAAGGCAATACTTGAAGTCATATACTCTGATGTATATGGTTCAATCCAGGTGGATTCGATTGGTGGCAATAGATACTTTGTCACGTTTATAGATGATTACAATCGAAAGTTGTGGACTTACCTCATCAAGAAAAAAAGTGATGTGATTGAGGTATTTTCCATATTTAAGTTCATGGTCGAAAGACAGAGTGGTCAAAAGCTGAAAATTCTGAGGACTGATGGTGGTGGAGAGTATGTGTTGAAAGAGTTTGATACAGTATATGTAAAAGAAGGGATTGTGCATGAGGTGGTGCCACCTTACACTCCACAGCAAAATGGGATTGCAGAACGCAAGAACAGAACCATCAGGAATATAGTGACAAGTATGCTGAATGGAAAGCATATACCCAAAGAATTATGGGGAGAAGCTGTTTCGACAACAACATATATATTGAACAGATGTCCGACGAAGAAGTTTAAAAGAATCACACCAGAAGAATGTTGGTCTAGTGTCAAGCCTAGTCTCGGCCACTTAAAATTGTTTGGATCTATAACACATAAACATGTGCCAGATCAGTTGAGATGGAAGCTTGATGATAAGTTAAATTAGATGATCTTGATAAGATATCATTCGACAGGAGGTTACAAGTTGTTCAACCCAGTGAATAAGAAGGCAGTGATCAGCAGGGACGTGATCATAGATGAGCTTGAAGAATGGGATTGGACTGATGATGGGCTAAAGACGTGTCTACTTATGCGTCTAGCGGTATCTTACTGCAAGTGCACAGCCTATCGAAGTAATATTTAAGATTATCGATCCACAGGGATTCTATGGTTACTTAGTGCTAGATGAACTTCTAGTTTAGCTAAGGCGAATGGTTGTCACGATTTTTTGTTGATTTTTAAGACTATTAAAGGCGGAATTAAATTTAAGTTTTAATAAAGTAATACTAAGGCGGTCGGTATGTAATTATACTAACTTAGGTGGGTCAATCTAACCTAGGCTTATAAAGGTGTTCACTTAATCTATTCGGTAGAGATTACCAGTTTAAATACCCTCAACTCACACTCTCGTGGTCTTATATCAGATCTTATCCCTAAAGCCCTATGCCTGCTCTCGCTAGCCCATAAGTGTTTAGAGGTAATTTTTGGAAACTAAGTAATTCTAATTTATCTTAAAGCGCTCTCGCTGTGTTTAATTTAAATGCCTAACTTTAGCTATCTGGTTAAAATCTCACACTCTCGTGGTCTTGACCTAACCTAATACTCTTTTCTTACTCTCGTAACGAAAAGGTCTATTTCAATTAAAAAGTATCAGCCAGAATGTTAAGTGATTAATTATTTTTAGCCTATGGTTATATTTTACCGGTTAAGTTTGTTATAACTACATACCGCCCTAAGGTGTTTAGTTACTCATCGATGTTGAACCAGACAGAGACAGAAAATTTAATAATAACGTACTCATGGCAGAAAAATAAATAAACATTATAATTAAATTAAATTGCAATATAATGAAAAACCTGGTTAACAAATATTCGAGCAGACTCCTTCTTCCACAGACCGGAAAGCTTGGAGTTGGCGGAAATTGAAAATAAACG